AGTTCTCTGATGATGCTGATGTGGTCCCAGGGGAGTACACATTGAGAACTACAGCCCAGTTACTTTTGAGTAGATCGTAGGTCTGTAAAAAAAAAAAAAAAAATGGTAACAAAGCTCCTTTCCTTCCCTGCTTCCTAGGACTGCTTGAGGATGAGGGGGGATACATTATCTCTGGAGCCAGAGTTCCAGAGGAAGAAGGTGCACAATGGGGACAGTCCACCACTGAAGAGCAGAACTCTCAAGGTAAAGAAGTAGGGGAGGAGGGGAGTGAAGAGGAAGAGAGAGGGGGAGAAGAGAGGAAAATGGGGGAGAGAAGGGGAAGAGGAAGGGGAGAGAAGGGAGAAGGAAGGGGGAGAGGGAGGGAAGGAGAGAGGGGCTGGTCTCTTTCCAGCACCCCCTCCAGACCAATAATCTATCTAGGTAACAGTTGCTCGACACCTGAATGCAGTTTTACCACATAGCCACAAAGAAAAAGCTTTCAATAAAATTGACCCTTAAGTATTTGAGGCTTTACCTTAAAGAGCACTATGCTGTTCCACAGAGAAAGGAGAGCTAAACTGCTTTCTGTCCTAGAGCTCCTCCCATCCAAGTCAAATGATGGTGTCCTCATCCATCACTTCTCTCTTTTTTTTTTTTAAAGATTATTTATTTATTTGACAGAGAGAGACACAGCGAGAGAGGGGACACAAGCAGGGGGAGTGGGAGAGGGAGAAGCAGGCTTCCCGCCGAGCAGGGAGCCCAATGTGGGGCTCGATCCCAGGACCCTGGACTCATGACCTGAGCCAAAGGCAGACGCCCAACGACTTAACCACCCAGGCGCCCCTCATTCATCACTTCTGCCAATAAAATGACCACAGAGAAAAGCGAACAGCACTGGTGAGATTCAAGCAACCCCTGCCTCTAGGACCTGCAGGGATTATGCAGTGAGGACCGCTTCAGTTCTTACTGAACCACTTATGTGCCCACATCCCCTACCTGCTGGGGGGATGGTCTATGCATCTGGGAAGAAGAGTAGACAGCATTTTACTTCCTGTGTTGAAAGCACTAATCCTTACTCTTGCTTTCCAGCTCAAAATGCCCCAGAACCACCCCCACCCACCCCCAGCTGCTGACTTTTGCTGTAGGTAAAACAGCACTTATTACTTACACAAAAGTGGAAGAGCAGTATGGTATAGGACTATTTCTGGTGTCATTAGTAATTTTATATTTTTGTTATTATGCTTTCACTTGGTTACAACCAAAGTTATTATAATGTGCAAGTTGCCACTATTTTGGAAAATTAATTGCAGTTTTCTGTTACAATATTATGCCTTCTTCCAATTAGAAAATGAAAGCAGGGAGGGCACACAGGCAGCTTCGTGTTTTGAGAATTCAGCAAAACTTCAGCTCAGCAATCTCCAAATGCCTAACTTAAAAAACCAAACAGAAATGAACAAAAAGCCCTCCCTGGCTCCAAAGCAAGGGAGTCAGACCGAAAATAAGCCCCTGAGGCAGAGTGGCATCCCCAGCCTGGAGGAGGCTGGAATGGACGGAGGGAAGGGAGAGATAAAACATGTGCTCAGTCTTATTTTTCCAGACTTGCCAATCATACTAAAATTGGGAAGACTGAGCCTAGCCTCAGAAGCAGAGAAGGGAAATATCAAAAGGACCCTGATCCTAGAAACAAGGATAAAAATTAAAATGGCTCAACATGGGCGAAGAACAGAATCCAGCACATGGCTATTCAAGGGAGGGCCCCGGAGGGCAGCAACAGCTGAGAAGAGATGGGAGGTGAAGCACAGTCAGCCAAAAAGCCAAGTAAGAGTCTGGTGGGAAATGGAGCCCAAAGGCCACCGTGCCCACAACAAGATTAGCCAAGGATCAGAGCACCATGCATAAAACCACAAGTAAACCTGAGACTGTGTCCCTTCCTTGCTGAGGACGCTGAGGGCAGAGACCTCAAATGAAGAAAGCAGTCATTAAAAACAGCAGTTCTCAAACTCGAGTGCATATCAGAATCACCTGGAAAGCCTGTTTTACAAATACAAACACCTGTGCCCCTCCCGCCCCATTCTTATGTGGCTCTTGAGGCCTCAAGTGCTGTCTGTTTCTGACAAGGACATCTAATGCAGGTTATCCAAGGAGCACAGTTTGAGAAGCACTAATCCAGAGGTCTGAAGAACCGCTCAGAATAAATGCACCAAGGCAAGCCAGCAATTAGCCATTGATTTTCAGAAGACTTTTCATATGGGACTGGATAAGAGATCATCTCTTGGGGAGAGATGTCACTTAGTGGGAATTAAAATAAGGTAAGTCAATGCTCTGGAGGACGTTCTCCTGGGACTGTCTGTTGGCCCAACAAGCTCACCTCTCTGAATATTACCATAGTGAATTCCAAGAGGTAAGACTAAAATGAAGGGGGATTTTGAGTAGAGAAGCTTGAGGACAGGCCCATCACCCACAAAAGCATTCCTTTGAAGACAGAGCTTGACATTACAGATGGACACACCCACCTATACTTACCTGTGCAGAGAGGGAGATGCTCTACTGTCCCATTAAACCCTCGCTCCCTGTTCTCAGACAAAAAGGCACTTCTTGCCTTAAACGGTGGTACAGCACAGCTATCCAAAAAAGCTGGTGTCTTCCCTTCCACCAATGACTGAATTCAGGGACATTTGCTGAATGCTTTGGTGCCTCTGGAGGTAAGGGGCAACCAAGACCTGGAAAACCAGAAACCTTTCTGTAGCGCAGGGGTTTAAAGTCAGACTTGGTGGAAAACGGTAAGCAAAACCTTGCTCAGAAGGCTGGATCCTGTCTCTTGGGTGAGAGGAACACTTCCCAAATGGGAGCTTTCTAGTTACTTCAGCTCCCTAAGTGGCAGATGGTGCCTACTGAGAATCAAAAAAGCCTCACTAGGAGGCCTGAGAAATAGCTCTTGTCACGAGGCATACAGCAGCTGGCTAGCCGCCCTGAGCCCCTTAGCAGGACAGCAGTGGATTACCACACCTCCTCAGCAGACTCCTCCAACTGCATTCCCTGAGCTGCCAGCCCCATATGTGACAACATCTTGGCTTCCGCCCTGTAGCTGTTTGCCCTCAGCCAGATGTTTCTAGCTACTTATGGGAAGGAGGAACCTTGCTAGGATGGAGGACTGGCAGGCTGGACCCGGGAGTTGGGCAGGAGCCCTGGCTTCCGGAAGAGGCTGGAGATGTCCATTAGTGTTGCCGAAATCAGATCCTGTCTCTTAATGATGATAAACAATTATTTCACAATTAGGCAGGAAGGGTTTAGAAGAACAGCTTTTGGGACCAGGATTCTAGGTAGTGAAAGGCAGACACCAGGTACTTTTACCATCCAAATCTGCTGAGGAGAAGCAAAATAATATGTAAACTAAACCTCAATGTCCATCCTCAAATATCTAGGTAAGAAAACAGGCCTGTGAACTTCATGATGTCCTCTCCCAAGCACCTAATACCAGATCCTTCCAAAGTCACCTGGGATTCAGAAATCGGGACTTTCCTGTCAGTATGATGTCAAGAGCACACAGACTGCCTGCTTCTACCCTTTCAGGGGCTTCGTGGAACATGCTGTCACCTATCACTGGTTCTGCTCGTTATCCCCTAGAAATGCTAAGGAGGACGCTTTTCTTGAGATTCTCTTCCATTCATTCAGCTTCTCCTAAATGTCAGGTTCCTTCTTAGGTACTTGGACTTCATAAACATGGCACAGATATGGTCTACACTCTCGAGGAGCTCACAGTCCAAAAGAGGAGAATGACATGGAAACAAGTTAAGTGCAATCTGATGTGATGAGTGTTAACATAAGCTCGGGGGAACCAAGGAGGGTGGTGGCACAAGGAGGGAGTGATTTAGAAAGGTCCCGCAGAAGGGAAAGAGCTGCCAAAGTCAGGTTTGGGGGACGGAGGGGCAGGTAGAAGGCACACTGGCAAGAAAGGGCCTTCTGAAATTCAGAGTGCTTGGAAAGTGACTCAGTAGAGTCAGACAGAGGGTCCCTGTAGGAGATGGGAGGAAGAGGCTGGTGACCACCACGCTAGGCCACCCACTTTCTGTCACTTTCTACATAATGGATCCTATCGCTAGCTTTTTCTTTAAAACAAATGCTTCCATTCCAGGCATCAAGCATCTACATGCATCGCACTAAATGAAGGGCCCTGGGGGATATGTCCCTAAGGAGCTTACACTGAACCTAACTGGGCAGAATAAACATACATACCACTCAGCTAAAGAAAACACAAAACAACACATAAACAAGTGCATAAAACTATAAATGGCACAACACAAAGTGCTAAGGGAATTCACAGGTTCTTAGCTTGAGACAGAGCTTAAATACCATCTAATTAGAGAACCATTCAAATGCTCAATTCCCCTTGGCAAAAGCAAATGAGCCCCCATGGGAACTCAGAAACCAGTATGGTTGAGTCCAGAAGGCCACTAACCCCACGATGCCCAGAAGGCTTTTATGGCAATACAAGAGAGGTCCACCTCAGACAAGAGAGGGTCCCAATAGGACCTTCTTCTGCTAATAAAATGGATGAGACGGTTAAGAGCATAGCAGCTATGCAAAGGCCTCATCTTCCAACATGATTACAACCCACAGAAAAGAACATTTCATATTATATATCACTTTTTATAGCTTGCTTCCTCAAAAAAAAATTTTTTTTAATAAGCATAAATATTTCATTGTGTCCTTCATGTATCTCCAGACCAAAGGTCTCACACTGAGGTAAGGAGGTATTCAGTTTGGGCTTCATCCAAAGATACTTTCAAGCCTCTCGGGAGCTCAGCTCAGGAACTAGGGTGTGAGAAAGCTCCTGCCTTTTAATAGTCCAGAGCTTCTAAAAGTGAAGCCTGCTGGTCACAGATGGGCTGGACAGCAGTCTTTCGTACTCCTTACAAACATGCTACCTCTCACCCGGGTTGGGAGGTCACACCATTAACCTTCACTACCCTGCCAAGTCTGGAGAGCTGCCCTACAACGGAGGCATGAGCCATGGCACTCACCCTCATGGAGGTCTCGCCACCATGGGCCTGCTGCAGCCTGAAGACCTGGGCCACCATGTGCTCTGTGGAGGGATGCAGCAGGATCCTCCTCGAGGCCAAGCCCACCATTACGTATCGGCCCATTGGGGACAGGCTCACCGAAATGGCATTGGGACCTGAGAGCCAACAGAACAGAGAGACGTTTCCCAGAGTTCTTGCCATCACAAGGAAATAATGTTCCCTCTCAGTCTTTTTCTCTTATTTCCAATTTGCATCTTTGGTTACCCAGGGGCTCTCTCACAGGAGTGCAGTGAGGAGGACAATGAGAAGGCATGTCAAGTACTGAGTACAATGTATGACATACAGAAAGTACTTGACAAATGCTAACCATTGCCATCACAGCACCATATCTTAAAAAACTGGCACCATACTGTAAATAGTACTTTGAAATCTCCTATTTCCACTTCATACGTAATGACCATTTTTCCACCATTAAATATTCTTCTATAAGAGCATTTTAAAGGCCAAATGGTATTCTGCCCTGTCTGTGCATCATCATTTATTTAAGCAATTCTTCACCATTTGACATTTTTCTCTATGATAAGTAACACTGCTGTGAACATCCTTGTAGATAAATCTTTGTATAGTTTTCTGATTATTTCCCTAGAAGTGGGATTGCTGGATCAAAGAGAACATACACTTTTAATCCACAATACCAAACTGCCTTGAAGTGTAGGAGTGTGCCAAGCCGTGACCAAAGCTCCTCCTTTATCCGTGGCCGTCACAACAGGAGCGTGTTGGTGACGCTATTATGGCAGGAAGGACTCTTACTCTGAGAGTCTTCTGCAATGCTACCAGCCAGGACTCCTGCAAAGCCATCTTCCTCTGGCCTGTGCCCCAGGGAAGCAGGGGCAGGCTATGACCATTACTCCTTCCTAAGCTGTGCCTCACCTAGGAATGCCCATGCCAAGGCATCAGCGTCCCTCTGTCGCTAGGTTGGGCTTCCTATCCCTTACCAAATCGCTTGGTGTAGAGCATTTCACCCAGGTTATGGGGGGCCAAGGAGTACACTGCCAGGATGCCTTCATCAGGAAAGCCCCTCTGGCTGCTAGGGATGAAAGCTGCCAGGAGCTGGCCATCTGCAGAAATGTCACAGCTGGCGTCATTGTAGATCTTGCAGTTCTGCACCAGCACATTCACGGAAGCTGCATCAGACAAAGAAAGAAAAGAGGGTAAGAAAGTTTTGGAGTTGATGGTGTAAAAAATTCTGGGCCAAGAAATTCTGGGGCCTCTCTAAGGGCCTGAACCCTCTCTAAAAATGCTGAAGTCCACCCTGTCAATCAAACTAAAATGTCATGAAACAAGGAACACAAGAGGCAGGAAAGAGATGTGTCTTTTACCACTTTAAAAGGAAACAACAGATAGTCAACACAATCACAACCACCTGCTGAGTCTCAGCTCACACTTAGGAAACATCATTTGAGAGAGATAAGGAAAAAGTTATTAAAAATTGTTCCTGGAGAGCTATTCAACAGCTGTTACTGTCCAAAAGATCAAAACTAAGATGAATGAAAATGCAAAACCACTGATTCCAAGAGAAAGGTGATCCAGGTAAAGCTTCCTTGGGGTGAGAGTCTTACTGCATAGCTGCTATGCGACCTCGGAGAAGGAAGTCATTTCATTAGTTTGTGTCTTATTTTCTCATTCCAGAGAAATGGAACAGTTAGAGACTTCAGTCTTCTGGACAGCTCCTTGCTACTACGAATCCCTGATGCCACAAGAGAGGACAAAGAGAAACACATCCCAGCTGTGGCTGGATGGCTGGAACTCTTCATTTCTCACTACGCTCTAGGCCTTATCCATACCATAAGCAAGCATCCAGGGGCAGCAGCCCCAGCCTGTACTTAGCAGCTACTAAGAATTAAGCCCAGGATCAGCGAGGCAGCAGGCTCAAGGGAACAGGGTAGGGATAGGGGTGGTGGAAGAATGTGTCAGTGGGGATGGGGAGATCCCGTTCCACATGACTAATGAGACGTTGGCCAGCACTGCGTCTGTGCCTGCAGGCTTTGTTTTGATTTTCATTCGAGTCTCCAGTCTCCGAAGCCCACTGTATAATTCCCTGCCAGGAGAAAGTGGCTTACCCTTGAGGTGAGCCTGGGAACAGAGTGCCCAAACCGTGGGCACAAGCAGAACAGCACAACAAAGGGACCAAAGGGACCAAGCTCCTCTGGGCTTTGTCTCACTTAGATCTACTTCAAATGTACCTGCAAAGAAACTTTTTGGTCCTTCTCTTATTTTAGAGATTACCTGGATGTCCACTGTCAAACACATTATGGTTTAAAAAAAAGGAAGAAAGATAGAAGAAGCCAAGCTCAGTGGCCTTCATCAGATTCCAGGTGATCTATTCCAGGAAGCCCAAGTGCTTGCCTTGGAAGATCAAGGGCAAGTTTCCCCAGGAAATTACTTTAAGGAACACAAAACAGAGAACTGCTTTTCAGGGGCCTGAGGCTTAGGGGCTCAGGGACTCAGTGATTTCTAACACTCAAATTCATCTTCCTTTCCCTGTGTGTTGCTAATGAAGCCACAGAGATGACAAAGTAGATCAAAAAAGACATCAGAACACACTGATTAGGCTATTGTGCCAACTCTCGGGGGCTCACACCTACAGCACCATTACACATAACACCGAGAAGGGACCACAAGGATGGCTCTGTTTGCTAACTAATAAAATAATGACATCCAAATATTCACTGCTATCACCATTAGGGCTCTGTACTGCTCAACTTCCAACCCACCATCTGCTCTACCCTGTGTGGCTAGATTTATCTAGTTAGCACTGAGACCGTCTGCTCCTTACTCAGGGTCCCAAGCCTGGTGCCAAAAAGATGACAATCTTTTCCTCCTTCCCTGGATTGACACATGATTCCAGTTGGGGATATATAAAAAAGGTGGGGGGAAGGAACGGGGGGAGGCGTCAGGAATGAGTCCATCTTGATTTTCTAACCTCGAGGCTGGGACAACCTTCAGAAAGATAAAAAGAAACTGAAAACTGAGACCATAGCCACCAAACTTTAAGACAGTTTTGCACAATTACCATTTATTCCACATTTAATGTCTCAAAAATGCACGGTGGGTATTGTATGAAAGTATGCTTTTCTTTTCTTTTCTTTTTTTTTAAAGATTTTATTTATTTATTTGAGAGAGAGAGAGCACATGAGAGGGGGGAGGGTCAGAGGGAGAAGCAGACTCCCTGCCGAGCAGGGAGCCCGATGCGGGACTCGATCCCAGGACTCCAGGATCATGACCTGAGGCGAAGGCAGTCCTTAACCAACTGAGCCACCCAGGCGCCCGAAAGTATGCTTTTCTATCTTGCTGTTATGATTTCACTCATGTGTGTTAACATGCAACTCCGTCAAACGTGTCGAAGCCTACAGTAACCCTCAAAGCTCACCACTAAAGTAAAAAAAAGCATTTAACTGCTTACTGCCAGATTAATTCCTAAGCAGGGCCAGGGTGGGAAGGAGAGTACAAGTAAGGTGTTCCTTTTTCTGGAAAGCTTGGCTCTAAACCCCTGAAAAACTGGGCATATAGACAAAAAGTATTTTGTCAGCCTCCAGTCCAGGCCGCTATGTTTGTGTTTACTACATTATGATGATTTGGAATCATAATGCCACCTCCCAAATTTCGTCCCCTCCCCACCAGCCCCACCCAGTTTCAAAAGTGCTCCCAGTCATTGTGGTGAGCACACAGACAGACATGCAGATGACAAATGAAAAGAGAATGATGACAATTCGAGCACAGCTTCTCCGGCAGCAGGTTTAATTGCAGAAACTGTGCCGCTAGTGATCCAGGGTCTCACTCCTGCCCTAATGAAGGGGATGTGGCAGGCACACTGTGATTTGGTAGCTTCGTTTCTGCGAGCACTGGGTGGTGTGTTTACAATTTCATTTTTCTTTCAAAGTTCCAATTAGCAGCTTACATTTGCCGCTCGTTGTCTATTAATTTCCCATGCGGAAATGGAAATGTTCAGTTACAATGGTGAGTGGTCACCGCTCCAATTCACTTGTGCCACTTCTCATAACGCTGCAATTTCGATGAGTTAATTTACACAGGACGAGATTTCTTGGACCTGTTTACTTGTTTTCTTGGGCCCTAGGAAAGTAATGCAAGGCAAACTCACTCTTTTTGGCAAGGACAACTCACTCTTTTTGGACTCAACAATAATGTAAGCAGGTAGAGAAAACGGTAAAGTGAAATAAAGCCTAAGACACTAGCAACCCACACAGCACTAGAAATCTCTGTTCTGCTCCCTGCCTGGCCCTCCGACACTGCTTCTCAAGTGTTAGCATGCATCAGAGTCACCTGGAGGGCTTACTAAAACATGGAATGTTGGGGTGAGGCCTGAGAATTTGCCTTTCTAACAAGTTCCCAGGTGTCTCTGATGCTGCTGGTGTGGGACCACACTGGACAACTGCCACCTTACCAAACAGTCCTTGATCCCTGAGCCGTAGCTCCAGCAACCTGCCCTGCACTTAAAGGCAAAAACACATGTGGGGAAGGGTGATGGGGCAGCTCAAAATGGAAATAAAGGTTAGGAAAGAAAGGATTTTTCAAATCAAAGCTGCTTAAGAGCTTCAGGGGGCAGCTCCAGGGGGAGAAAAAATGATGCAGAAGACAGCAGGAAGCCATGTTCCAGACTCTGCAATGTAATCTCCTCCTAATTATAAATGATTTCCAAGTGAAAATGCCCTAGCAGGGAATGGGAGGGGCTAGAAATACTGATGCCTGGAGGAGCAGATGGCTCTGCCTTCCTATCAGCTCCATAAATTATAAACAAACACCTTGTACAAAGATCGATTTGTAGCCTGTTGCTGGCTGGTCAGATGAGGCCATGGGAGTGATTAGCAGTTGCAGTGCTTTTGTAAATATATTAGATACTGATTTGGAAAACTCGAAGGGGTTTAAATCAGCAGGAAAATTGCCTTTCGGCTATCTCTGAGCCCCTCAAGTTGCAGAATAAGACCTCCTGCACAGTCCTCCGGATGACACTACAAGCCCTCCCCACAGGCAGCAATCACTACATCTCCTGCGGTGCAGTCTGCCTTACACCATTCAGCTGCGGGGTTTCTGAAGGCTGGTGCTGGCAGGGCACCCGAGTGACCAATGCTCTTTACCAGTAAGAGCTCACTCTTAAAAACCAGGGTGAACCCAATGAGCTACTTTTTCAGGAAAGTGTTCTTGAAATTATCCACATCTGTGAGGCCTTTTCATAAACTTCTAATTTACAGAGAGTAATTCATTAATGGTGCATCCTGAGAGAAACACGTGGAAGGAATTTTCAACTAACTCCAGAGAAAAGTTAAATACAATTCAGATAAGTCAGATGACCAGCAACATAGTGGCTGCTGAACACATGAGTAAAACTCAAGCCCAGTGGCTCCCAGGCACGGGTTGTGCCAAGGCCAAAGGCTACCCTCCACTAAGAGGTACGTGGTGTTCAGAAATGAATCCTACAGCAAAAAAGATTCCCTACTTACTTTTCTCACAGCTGAATCTGTCAAGAGTGAAGCTGCCAACTGTAACTAGACTTTATTCAGACCAACCAGCAAACACAGTTAAGAGCTAATGACAGGAAACTCAGATAAAAGTGACTGTCATTCTAGAGGGTAATACCACTGAAAGGAACATTGGCTATCATCGGACATATATGCCCTAAACTCCCAGAATGCAGTTTTTCTTCTAAGGTCAAAACTAAGAAAAATAGGGCACTATTAAAAAGCAGAATTCTAACACCATGCATGAGCCAAACTAGTCCTCTGGTTGCACATGATGCTCTCTGATCAACTCAGGCTTTACAAGAGTCAGGATCAAAAGATGTAAGAAGAAACACAGAAGGGGAATTATAGGAAGTTGTAGTTGGAACAAGTTGAGGCTTATACAAAACATGTTAAGGACAACCAGAAAGGGCATCAAAGCTATGCTAGCAGCATATTCAATGCCTGTATTCTAAATATTTTGCGTTTCTAGCAAGGCAAATGATCTCCGACTGGGTAGAAACAACATGCTTGAGAAGGATGGGAAGCCCATTACAGATAAGGCAACAGGGTGAGAGCAACATCTTGTTCACATGAACATCACTCTCCAGAGAGGAAGACTACATACCTCAGAGTAGTAAAGACGGGGGCAGGTGGGAATTTAGAGTTAT